ATACATCTTAAATGAGGGGAGAGAAGGTTTCGTAGCAGCTCTCCTGGTACCACAGGCACGGTTTCCTTTTCCAAAGGGTAGCAAAACAACATTCACTGTGAGACTGCAGTCTTCTGTGACATGTATGATTTTAGGAATAGTGCTGACATGTATCTGAGCGTCAGCACTGCTCTTGTAAGAAACTATAAAAAAAACACTAATTTTAAAGCAAACAGCAGCTGCAGGCCGTTTTCACGCCTCATGTGGTTTTCACCAGCTCTCTTCACGCCAATGCTCCACATGGCAAATAGCTCGGAGACAGTATTCCCTCCTGCTATGTGCTGCCAATACTGAGTTCAGATGGCATAAAGGGGCCCAGTTACCCAGTCAGCATTCTCACCCTTGGAAGGAATGGAAAGCAAATATCTCATAGCATTTTTCTTTGCAATCCTGCTGATTCAGAGACAATAAAGGCAGGTTCCTGAGGGCCTTCTGGAAAGTGTTAGTATTCAGGAGGCTGCAGAACAAAAAGCCCTGATCTCTGAGAGTCCTGATCTTCATCCTCATACGTGTTGTTGAGGTTTCACGTCACGTCCAAACCCAAACCGGCTGTGAAAGTTTGTTTCTAATTACTTTTCACTTTAAGTCAAAGTCTGATTGAAGAGTGAGTGATTTGGTTACGAGGCATGAAATGGGTCCAAGCTGAATGTCCAGTCAACATTTGTGGCTCCAGCTGAAACAGACTTTATTTATACACTCGTTTCTTTTTAATTAAAGCTGTGGAAGAGAATGTGCCACTGTGACTTACTGTACCACTACAAGAAGGCTCAACATAAACTTCTCTCCTCACAGGGCTGATTTCAGAATATATGTTCTGGGTCTGCTAGTTTTTATCCCCAACCAGATCTGTCAAAGACAGAATGTGCACGGCTTTAGCCTTCACACTAAACAGCTGACTGATGGTAAGAAATTATGCAGTGAAGATATCCCCATGTCAGCTGCTGACATTTCCAGCAAATCTTCTCTGATGCCTCATATACTTTTACACACTTATTTTTTCAGCATAGTGTCTTGGAGCACCTTCTATTCTAAATAGGATGAGCAGTGTTTCTCATGGAATAAAACCAGCCTCTGGCCACAGCACAGAGGAAGGTTTGATCGATCGCTGATCATAAAACGGTGAAGACATTTTCAGTGTCTGTTCCTCTGGGTCTAATCAAATGGAATCTGAGGTGCATTTTAGCAAAAAACATCCATTCAATCAATCACAGAGCTTCAAATTCTGTTATATGTGCTGCTAATGGTGAGTGAACACTGAAGTGTGAACACTGTGAGACTGCAGTCTTCTGTGACATGTATGATTTTAGGAATAGTGAACACTTGCCAGGAAAGAGGAGCTGTCTGAAACAGGGGTTCATAGAGCTAGGTAGGTGTAAAAAATAAGAAGTGGGACTGGGTCGGATCAGAATTCTGAAATGGAAACAGAACATTTTACACATAATCACAGGAACTGCCATCATTTTTGCTGTTGCTGAGTCTGAATACATGTTTGGGTTGTACACAGCGGGCAGCAAACACAATTAGCCTCTATAAAAGCCAAGTTAGTCAGTCTAACAATGGTCATCTGAAGTTTAGGGGAAAAAAAACAAATAATATAATGAATTTGTCCTCCACAGGACTAGATGTCACCACTGATCTCTCTAGAAATGTGTAATTTCACTGCAATTTTATGCACCACCATTTTTCATGATTCAGCTACATCAGATAAATACCAATGTTGTGCAAAGCGCTTTTCATCATTTTCTTAAATGAGCAATACTGTTGTTTCTTTGAATAAACAAATATTCAAAGTTTACATTGGCTGAAGTGTAAACACAGTTTGAAGAAAAATGTGTGTTTTGGAAATTGCTCCATGCATAAAAACAATTAAGCAAAGACAATGAAAACCCTGTGGCACTGAAGAGCGT